GCTCTGCTCTCTTTGTGTCTTTTATCTTCCATAAAATGAGCTGTAGAAATAACCTCCAATTCCACTGGTCCCGTGAGAATCAACATGTGGGTAGAAGTGACACTGTGGAAAAGGAGTTTTTAAGTCTGGAGGCTCTCGAGAAAACATTTACTTGGATTCTCTGTGGCTAAATGAAGCTTAGTCATTGCTTGCTATCAGTCATTGGTCAAGACTACTGATTCATGTATCCACTCTTGTAAGTAGCTCTTGGCAAGAAGATCTGCTAGTGCTGTGTGATATGGTTAAAAATAAAAAAATAAAAGTAAGTTTTTTGAATAAACTATATATCTTGATATTAATTATGTATAAAAAGGCTTAAAATAATGATTTTTGACCTAGAATTTGGTCATACAAAATTCTAAGTGCAATGTTAAGTGCAATAAGAACTAACATACAGTGAAAAAAAGAAAATAATCAAGGGCTGTTTTCACTCAGTTATTAGAGGAATGGTATGTAGTCATGTAACTTCTGTACTGCAGGGGATGTGATTTGAGACGGTGACTGAATTTTTACCTTGCCTGTCTTTCTCTCAGTACATAAAGGCCCAATTCCATTTCGCCCCTCGCCCCTACCACTGAGCCCTTAGCCCTCCCTTTTGCATGTTCACATCTAGCGGTAGGGTGTCCTGAGTCTTACTGAGATAGAGGGGTGAAGTGTTGGGGCTACATGGGCCCTCCAAACGGAGGTTTTTCAGAGACTCCAAACAAAGTGATATGGGAAAAAAGGACAGCTGAACAAGAGACCAAAGAAACCCACAAGTGTGAGAATTTTCTACGTCAAAAAAATCTGATGACCATCGTATTATCTTAGTATCTTTAATGTCTTTTTTTAAATGTATTATGGTTGTTTTCTTCATAACAAGCATAGAAAAATCACTACTAGTATGCTGATGTCTTGGTAGCTAGCTAAATTTCCTGTTCCACCCTAAAAGGTGCAGCAGTTCTGACACCTAAAGTGCTCCATTTAAGGTGGAACAGGAAATTCAAATGAGAATCTGGTGAATATCTGACTTCAGCTTCATATCACTGAAGAATTAGGGGTGGGTGATAATAAATAATTGTCCCCCTCTTTGAAGATCATATGATGCCCTAAATGTAACTAAAGCCCAGCAGTGAGGAGCTGAACTTTACCCTCCTCTGCTGTCACTGCAGACTGGCAGGGTCGCCTACAGAGCAGCGCTGGTAGCTGTTAATGAAGTGATGCTCTTTTTATTTGAGGGTCCCATTTCAGAGGGAGGATTTCAACCACTACCCTGTAACTCAGCTCCAAGGGGCAACACTCGAAAACAAGGGGTAGGGGTGAAAATAAGGAATAGGACTGGGCCTTACTCTTATCCAGAGCAGTTTACCATGGTAGACAAATGCAGCAGTAGAAGTCCTGTCTGGATTTCCACCTGATCGTGGATGTGAACCCTGCTCTCTTGGGTGTGGGGCAGTGGTGTTATCCACTATGCTATCCAGGTTCTTTGCATGCATTATATTAACAAGTGAGGTTTCCATTTTGAGGCTTAACACGAGGCTTAAGCATTAGACTTCTGTCATAGTCATGATGCAGCCTAATTTTGTATCTACACAAAATTGTTGTCAATATACTGTTAATATGCAGTACCTTGTCCAGCCGTTGTGTCTGCTTAATATTTAAATGCAGGAGAATGTTAAATGTCATTTTGCAATTAGGTTTTGCTTCAAAAAGTCAAATATATTGTGTTTTATGACTAATCAAAAGTAATAGACTGTAGTGTATGACAATGCTAGACATGTCACAAAGACAAAAAACTATTTTATTTTATTTTATTTTAGTATCATGATAATATTGTATTGTGGGGCCTCTATTGATTCCCACCACTAAGTAAAGGGACAGAACTGTGGACCTACATACAGGTCTTCAGGGTTTAAGGGGTTAAAGCAGTGGTATTCAGTCCCAGTGCTTGGGGCCTCTGCACTGCACATTATTGTTCTTTTGCCTACTCTTGACTTTGTACACCTGATTCTTATGGAGAGTTTGGTGATTAGCCAGTAAGTTGATTCAGGAGTGCCTGGAGTGGAAAAACTCTAAATCACTGTGCAGGGACCCAGAACTGGTACTGGGACAGATTCTTATGAAGGGGCAGCCCTGCTCCTCAGGGTCCCTTAACATCCTAAGCCAGTGATTTACAACAGGCCCTCTCAGAGCTGAGACCAGGCAACAGTCCCCCAGCTGGACATTATCTGTCAACTAGTTAAACTGTCTCGTTTCTGCATAAAACATATTGTGTTCTTGAGAATAGTCTTGAACTTGGGAGCTTTAAAATGTGTAGTGCAGTGCAGGCAGGGGTGGAAGAGTCCCCAAGAACCAGAGGTGATTTACCCAGCTAATCCTTCTTTGCTGCCCCGGGGGCTGATGTCATCAGCTTGGGTCAGCAGTAATGAATAGCTGTTACATCGGGGCCGAGGCTGGTGAGCTCTGACACAGTAGACTTTGGTGTGAAAAAAGCTGCTGTGTGGTCAGTGTCTGTATGTATTTGAGTTAGTGTGACTGACTCGGACTTCGTCACTGTGGTCATCCTCGTCGCCATCTTCATTATTGTCATCATGGAAAGAGTGAAGTTATTCTGAGTGGGTGGAGCTCGCATGAATAGACTGCAACATCATGTGTCAGTCTGTCTTGTTTCCTACAGAGTCCAGAAACTTTTCCACTTTTAGGCCATGAGAAAATTGACCCTGGTATTTCGTGACTTGCTTACAGTTAACTAAGCCACTCCTTTCCTGTTCACATCTTGCTAGTTTTGTTATCCTTTTTCTTCTGGTTTTCAGCCAGCCCCGTTCTTCAAGTATCAGAGTCGTTCAGAAGTCAGTTCATGTGAGTCCAAGTCAAGTCTCAAGTCCCTGGTTTGCGAGTCTGAGTCGAAACTCGAGTCTTTAGTAGAGAATTTTACTTCAGTCTCGTTTTTAGCTGCAGGCTTTGCACTGTACAGAAGGAAATGTCTACTAAAAGCCTGTCAGATCCCACACAGCTTCAGTTATACAGAAAAGCCTTCAGTCTAAAGGACAGAACTGAAGTGCTACACTTGGTGATGCTGCATTTGAAGGAAAGAAGCAAAACTAGAAAGTTTTAAGAAGTTTTAATGGAATGTGATCTGTGACTTGCTCAAAGTTCAGATAGATCAGCTCACATCTTCAGCTAAATTAACTATTGCCTGGCTAACATTCTGTTCTAACTCTGTACAAGCCAACAATTTCAAGATGTTTTGCCTCTTTTCTGTACACACTATACATACTGTTCGTTCTGTCCTTCAAACTGAAGGGTTTTCTGTAATGAAAGGCTGATTATTTGAAACACCATGGTTTCTTGCACTATTACAGGTGTGGTTATGTTAGGTTAGGTATGCTACAGGTGTGGTTATGTTAGGTTAAGTATATTACAGGTGTGGTTATGTTAGGTTAGCTGTGTTACAGGTGTGGTTATGTTAGGTTAAGTATATTACAGGTGTGGTTATGTTAGGTTAGGTATATTACAGGTGTGGTTATGTTAGGTTAGGCCTGTTACAGGTGTGGTTATGTTAGGTGTGTTACAGGTGTGGTTATGTTAGGTTAGGATATTACAGGTGTGGTTATGTTAGGTTAGGCCTGTTACAGGTGTGGTTATGTTAGGTTAGGCCTATTACAGGTGTGGTTATGTTAGGTTAGGCCTGTTACAGGTGTGGTTATGTTAGGTTAGGCCTGTTACAGGTGTGGTTATGTTAGGTTAGGTATGTTACAGGTGTGGTTATGTTAGGTATGTTACAGGTGTGGTTATGCTAGGTTAGGTATGCTACAGGTGTGGTTATGTTAGGTTAGGTATGTTACCGGTGTGGTTATATTAGGTTAAGTATGATTCTCTATATAAAGCCATTGCCTTTACTTAAGAACCCTTAAAGAATCAATTTATTAACAGTGAAAGTTAGCTAGTACATAGCTAGTACATAGCTAGCACAGTGGCACTGCTCACCTCTGTATGTTAATGTTATCTTGCTTCATGTGGACTGCATCTTAAACTTTCTCCTGCATCTTAAACTTTCTCCTGACTAATTTTATCATCGTGATCAGGACTAGGTGAGAAAAATGAATTTAATTTAATGTTATATTATATTTAATAACAATATTTTCTTTTTCTCTTACTAGTCTCCCATTTTTTAGTACTTCTTTCCATTTCCTGGACATTTGCCTGTGAAAGACGTGGAATGGTCTGGGCCTGTTTTCAAACCACAAACACGCTCCATATTAGGAGTATAAGCCACTGCGAATTAAGCTTATTAGCACTTGAGCTCCTCGAGATCAACAGCAGTGCCTGGCTATGCTAACTTTAGCCTCTACAGACTGTTCTCTACAGTTGTTTAGAACTACTGATGATGTCGTTCTGTGCCTGACAGCCTCGTGTGCTGCAGGAATGTGAGCTGGAAAAAAGTTCTGTTCTTTTCTGTCTGCTGTTCTGAGGAGAGCAGAGATAGCGGTCAGCATTGTTTGAGTGGAAAGGTTAGCATTGTCAGCTGATGGTCAGCCTCTGGCTAATGTTTGCCGAGACTGTCTGGGGTCTGCCTGGTTGCTTTTGTGCGTGTTTCTGTGGACTCAGATAAGATGGCCTTATGTGCAGAAAGGTCACAGCCATGTGGGAAGGTTTTCCTGAATATAACGTAAAAAATAAAAGTGTAGAAATATGACACTGAAGCCGTTTTGAGAGCGAGCTGCAGGAGGAGTTATGGCAGGAGTCTAGACGGCGTGTAATTTGGGAAACAGTTTGCGGCCTGTGCAACCGTAACTAAATCCAGATGTGTTGCATTGTTTAAAGTTGAATTCTTTGACTTATTAAACAGATTATAATAAGACTTTTAATGAAAACAGTAAACACTCCCAGTCTAAACCGCTCTCTGACCTGGACCTGATGAGGCTGCTTTTGTATCTCTGGCTGCTGTCAGAGCTGTTGACGTTATTTCTTTCTGTCTGCAGGCCTTGTGAGGATTAAAGAAGCGAAGGACATCGAGGTCAAGCTGAACGAGGTGGAGAAGCTGCTGAAGAACACCATCAACATGCCATGGAAGGTCAGAAACCATCACCTCTCTTAACATACCAGAGAAGTTGTACAGCAAACATAGTAGATCTTTCGTAACTGTTAGGTCAAAGGTGATAGCAGGAGTTTCAGTGGCTTTGTTGAGTCAGAAAATGTAAATTTTTTAATAGCCATGAAAGTAAAACAGTAAATTAGAATTTTTATAAGCTAATTAGCATCTCTCTGGAACTATAAGAACCATTAGAAGTCTTGACTCCACTAGAGGGCAGTGTAGAGCCCACTGTCTGCATTTTCTGTAGACGTTTTGGTCTGTTTAGTCCAGCAAAGGAATCAGAGATAGACTACTGCAGCCGTCTAAACACTTTATTTGTTCATTTTAAACTCTACGCGTATAGATTTATAGAATGAAACTTTTAACATCATATAGTGAATTTATCTAGTATGGACTAACTAACTTGGCAGCCTCACTGTTTTGAGCTAAAAGGTAGAAGATAAAATAAGTTCTGTGACTAGGCTGGTAATCTTTTCTTTAAAATAAGATTGGCTTTAGGTTGACTGCCAGATTTTTTATGTATTTATTTATTTTTGGTTGGGGGGGGCAGAGCTCAGTAACGCTCAGATTAATAACTGATAATCACATTGATTTATCAGTCTACTCAGGCTTTAGCAGAGCTCAGTAACGCTGAGATTAATAACCGATCACATTGATTTATCAGTCTACTCAGGCTTTAGCAGAGCTCAGTAACACTGATTAATAACCGATCACATTGATTTATCAGTCTACTCAGGCTTTAGCAGAGCTCAGTAACACTGAGATTAATAACTGATCACATTGATTTATCAGTCTACTCAGGCTTTAGCAGAGCTCAGTAACACTGAGATTAATAACTGATCACATTGATTTATCAGTCTACTCAGGCTTTAGCAGAGCTCAGTAACACTGAGATTAATAACCGATCACATTGATTTATCAGTCTACTCAGGCTTTAGCAGAGCTCAGTAACGCTGAGATTAATAACTGATCACATTGATTTATCAGCCTACTCAGGCTTTAGCAGAGCTCAGTAACACAGAGATTAATAACCGATCACATTGATTTATCAGCCTACTCAGGCTTTAGCAGAGCTCAGTAACACAGAGATTAATAACCGATCACATTGATTTATCAGTCCACTCAGGCTTTAGCAGAGCTCAGTAACACTGAGATTAATAACCGATCACATTGATTTATCAGTCCACTCAGGCTTTAGCAGAGCTCAGTAACACTGAGATTAATAACCGATCACATTGATTTATCAGTCTACTCAGGCTTTAGCAGAGCTCAGTAACACAGAGATTAATAACCGATCACATTGATTTATCAGTCCACTCAGGCTTTAGCAGAGCTCAGTAACAGTAGGGAACTACAAAACTATGCTGGCCCTCCAGCCATGTGGTTGCCATCCTGCAAAACAGATCTGTGTAATATTTAGGAAAAACCTCAGGTTTGTGCTGGTTTGACCCCGTAATATAAACGTATTCAAGAATCAGTCTTTTTTGAAAGCCTTTGATTTAGTGTAATTTCATGAGTGTCCTGCTGGTTACGTGGAAAAATATGCTTTGCTCTGGAATTAAAGATTAATAGTGCTTGTTTTTCTCAAGCTATGAATGCCTGTAGGTCCTAAAGCTGTTGCTAATACTGATATGCTTTCCAGTTTTCCAGGTCAGAGGTTGTCCTAACGTTCTTTGAACGTTCGCCCCTTGATCAAGTGCTGCGAAACGACAACGTCCACAAGATACAGCCGTGCTTCCAGAGCCCAGTCAAGATCTCAGGTATATTAAAAACTGGTGGTTTGGATTTTGAGCGACTAAAAACAGCAGCCCTGGGCATTAAACGCTACTACAGGCTCTTTTGTAGGCCATAAAATTTTAGCTGACGATTGTTATTTAAATTCTTAATTCCTGGCTTTACTGTTCACTTTGTATCTAACATACTGACATTAATGATATACTAATCTACTCATATCTACTGATATACTGACAAGTTTCAATGCCTCCATTTCTTACTCTGTGTGTGATTCTACTGTGGGAAAATAACTGCGGTCAGCTTAAATATTTATGATTATCCCAAATAATGGCCATTATTAAAAGGCGATTATATAATAATTGACAGGCCTATTCTTTCGTAAAACTGTTGCTTAAAACTCACAACTGTAAGATCTGCAGATTCATCACACTGCAAAAACTGCATCTTTAATCTAGTTAATATCTAATATTTCTCAGTTTAAGATTGTAATAGGATTACTAACTCATTTCTAGACGTTTTACTTGTTTTGAGTGATTTTAGTCAGTCAAATTATCTCACTTTATTGGCAGATAACTTTGCTTGTTGTGAAAAATGTGCCTGAAACCAACTTTTCGACAATATAAAGCGATAATGTGACTGACTAAAATCACTCAAAACAAGTAAAACATGTCTAGAAATAACTGAGCTAATCCTATATTAAGCTACCAACACTCTAAAAATGAGAAATATTAGATATATCGACTAGATTTAAGATCATTTCACTGGGCAAGATGCGACTTTCTGCAGTGCAGGAATCCGTGTCTGAAAACACCGCCGCTGTTAGCACTTATAAAAGGGTAAAATATTAAGCCTTTTTCAACCAGTGATGGACTAACGCCGTAAGCTCATTACACTTGTTTACGTGTTTTTTTGCAGAGATTATGAGGTCTAATGGGTTCTGTCTGGCCAACACAGAGACCATTGTGTTTGATGAGAATGTTCCACAGGATAAGGAGAGACCCTCGTCTACAGACTCAGCCGAGCACTCGTGAGTTCCTCTTTCTCTTTGGTTCACTGCGATACGTTTATCTCATTCACTTTGACTGAGATCACAGGCTCGAGTTTCATCCTAAAAATAACGTCCAGGTTCCATTCTTTTTGCTGTTTTTTGTGTTTTCTCTTTAAAAGTGTATCCTTGTGATGGTAGAAATGAATGAGGAAAGTTTCATCCCCTGTGTTTGAGGTAGATGCACACCAGTCAGACTGCACCACTCAGAATTACTTAAACCTCCTCTGGTGCTGATTGTATAGCAATGAGTCATTTTTCAAATAGATTAGTTTAACTGCTTTGAAGTTTCTGCCCTCTCTTATCACGACTAGATCTTCTAAGCACATGTGAAACTCATATTTTAGTCCCAGCAACCTACCAATATTGACAAAACACATAATAATGACTTACACTTTACAGTTTCTGATATATCTAAACTTCAGTGCCACAGGCCATTGTGGCAATTACAAAATTCATTTGAAACACATCCAAAACTGAAATTGAAACTGAAAAAAAATCACTTATCTATCTGATTCACACATGAAATAATAAAAATAAGAAATAATTAATAGAAGTGAAAACCAAAACAAAAATTCTGGGACTTTGTGAGACTTCATGGTTTTCTGCTGTGTGAATGTGAGAAATCTGTCAGTAAAATACTGTTTAACTGAAACTGTTGGACTATAAACATAAAATATGAAGTAGAATAAAGTATAATAAAATAAAATAAATAAATAAATATAAAGTACATAGTGGCCAGTATTACTGGCGATCAGTCAGGCCTACTTGGTACAGATGAGGAAACTGTGAAAGCTAATAATTATATAACAGCAGGTTTTGGTCAACATTCCTTGAGAGCAAAAAGGTCCATCACACACAGGACGTAGCTCCGGCCAGTACTTCCTTCCCTGGGTGTGAGAAGGAAACCCAGGAATGAAACTGCGGACCCACCCTCACAGACCCCCACACTGCTGACATTTCACACCCAGCACACACAGCATTGTGTCACACTGAGAAAAGAGGCAGAGTTTACTTCTCACTGTTGCAGTTAGACGCTGCCGTCCTATTGTCACTACTGTCATTTAAAGGAGCATAAACATCCACAGGGTTGGGATGTAATGGAATACAAGTACAGGAATACATATTCAGTTATTAATCTCAGCGTTACTGAGCTCTGCTAAAGCCTGAGTAGACCGATAAATCAATGTGATCGGTTATTAATCTCAGTGTTACTGAGCTCTGCTAAAGCCTGAGTAGACCGATAAATCAATGTGATCGGTTATTAATCTCAGTGTTACTGAGCTCTGCTAAAGCCCGAGTAGATTGATAAATCAATGTGATCAGTTATTAATCTCAGTGTTACTGAGCTCTGCTAAAGCCTGAGTAGACTGATAAATCAATGTGATCGGTTATTAATCTCAGCGTTACTGAGCTCTGCTAAAGCCTGAGTAGACTGATAAATCAATGTGATCAGTTATTAATCTCAGTGTTGCTGAGCTCTGCTAAAGCCTGAGTAGACTGATAAATCAATGTGATCAGTTATTAATCTGTGTTACTGAGCTCTGCTAAAGCCTGAGTAGACTGATAAATCAATGTGATCGGTTATTAATCTCAGCGTTACTGAGCTCTGCTAAAGCCTGAGTAGACCGATAAATCAGTCTTTTTTTGCTGGTGTTATTATTCTACCCATGTAGAAATACGTCTGCTTGAATATTGATTTAGGCTACTCCACCCACCTCTGACTGTATCATATACCATGGACAGAAGAATTACAGCATGGGGGGTTCACAAACAAAGCATAGACAGGTCAAAGTGACCATAATGCAGCTTTGTTTTGATTTAGCAATCGGAGCACAACAATAGAACAGCAGCCTGATTTCAAAGAGAGACTCTATACTCTTTAAACCCCAAGCACAGCCGTATCCTGCTCTGAGAGCCTGCTGGGGTTATGAATCAGGATCCAAACCTGGATGACGGTACTCAGACTCCCAAACGCAGTACCTAACCGAACTGCTTAAAAGGTCACATAACCTGTAGGCATTTACATAACATACTTCTAAATGCAACCCAGAACCTTTACTTACTGTTTGAGGGAACCGGAGCGTTCTCTGACCCCTCAATATTAATGCTCAAGAGGGAAATCGGGCACATGTTGCTTTCAGATGCGCTCAGTCAGGACAGCATTGACCTACATGACTTCACACCCATGTGAACCCTTAGGTTGTTAAGACAGATTCTGTAATCATAATCAGCTGCATAATTCAAGGAACTAATAATAAACATCCCTGTTTAAAAAGCTTTTTAATTGATCAGTAGTTGTAGTTTCTTATATTTAACTTTATATAAAGAATCAGACAGGATTCATCAAGGTGTTGAAGCTTCTTGATAAATGTGGATTATAATCACACATTCATTGAACCTGATCATCATGTTTTGCTGTCTTATTTCTAAGGCAGCAGGTAAGGATACACCTCAACTGACATAACCAAAACTCTTACACCATCTACATTTGGCGAGTGTGCATATATAATCAGTCACGGTAAGATACATAAACTACTTTATGTTTATGATGCGTGTTCGAAGTGCCAGCAACATACTTTGTATAGAAGTCAAGTTAACCGACATTTGAAGTCTTTAAAAGGAAACTTTCACCAACCGAAACACATTTCTTAGTTTTCTAAATTAGCATAAATTAGCATAGAGGAACATGGAGCGATCCCATTGGTGGATTTCAGAGCAGTGCAAGCTTACAAGCCTGTTAACTTTTTGATGTATTATTTTAGTAAAAACTAATACAAGGTCAATGTTGTTTCCCATATGGACAAAAACATACACTCCTAATGTATTTATCAAATATATTTTTGCACTGTATGAAAATGTACGTATTAAATATATGTTTAAAATGCATTTATCAGTATTAGTTATTATCTGTGTTGAGTTGTGTGTAATGAAGGTTCCAGATGTAACTAAACGTTCTTCTGTGATCTGCACTGTACTTTACATTAACCATGTACGTCTGCAGTCAAACTCTCACACACAATGTATTTCACATAAACAAGATATCAGATCATAACTGCATTTTTTAGTATCAATACCCACAACACTCGCTTCTGTCCTGATAAAGGATCATCTGATCAGATTTAAAATGAAGATACTGGAGCACAAATTCATCTCTAAAGGTATCAGACAGTGAAGAGCATCAGACAGGATTCTGGATATTTTCGTACATTTTCAAATGGATTTGAACATATTTACGTATTTATTTTGTCTATGTGTAAAATTTCCCCACTCATTTTAAAATAAATGCATTTTAAAATATATTTGGTTAATATAGCAACATATTCTGAAATACATTTTAGTGTTTGGAAATTGTTTCTGCATGCACTGCAGTGTATTTTTAATGTATTTCGACTATAAAATGTACATGCCTACATATTTTTTTTCCATATTGGTTATTAGTGTAAATAATTTTAATAGTACAGTAGAAAGATTGCTGGGGAAGCATCTTCATGAGAAACCAAAAGGTTTGATTTTTGGCTGATCACTAATGCCTGGCTGATCTATCGGTTACACTGTAATGGGAAATAAACACAAAAAACATTCTCTAAGAAGGGAAATGATGAAAATGAGAACAATGTCAGTCAGTAAAGCTCTGTTTTACTCAGAATACATACTAAATCTGATTAAACTTAGTGAAAATGAATTAAAATCTAAAATATAGACATATGTCAGCCGATATTATCATTTATCCGATTTTTTTAGCCCCTCAAAATCATGTTCTATCACAAAATGTTTAGCAAGGCCCTGCTAACCATCCCCCTCCGTCCCAGCTGTGTGATCTATTCTATGATTTTTACAGTTTAAACTGAAACTCTGTCATAAAAGTGAATCATTAAATATAGAAATAAATAAATAAATAAATGCTGATGGTCGACTGACAGTATTTCCACCAAGAACCAACAATGAATGATTCATTGAAATTTACGAAATCTGCAACAATTTCAAGAGTGCTAGATATACACACAGTTGTGTGCAAAAGTTTGTGCACCCCCAGTCAGGTGTCAGGATCTGTTGATTTTCAATGTGAAAAAGGTTCCATAGAGACAGAGCTAATGCAGCCCAGCTAAGCATGAGCAAAGCATCATGGGAACCAAAGCATGCTCTGACACCTCAATATTAATGCTCAAGAGTGAAATTGGACACAAACGGAGCTTTTAGTTCAACCAAACACAGAAACACTCAAACATTAGTCTACATGACTCGTCACATACGAACGCTTGGTTTATAAGCTTTGATTAAGATCAGAATGACTATCATTAAAGAGTTCTGCATTAATCAGAAACACAATGTCTTACATTTAACTTTCATTAAAGAATCAGACAGGATTCATCAGGGAGTTGAAGCTCCTTGATAAATGTGGATTATAATCACACATTCATTGAACCCACTCATCATGTGCTGTAGCCTTATTTCTAAGGCAACAGGTAAGGATACACCTGAACTGATGTGGCCCAGCACTCCTGCAGCATCTACATTTAATAGGTGTGCATGTATAATCAGTCCCGGTAAGATACATAAACTACATATTCATGATGTGACTTAGAAATGCCAACAACATCTTTTGTATAAAAGTCAAGTTGCTTCTCATTTAAAGCTTCTAAAAGGTGAATTTCACCAATTAAAAGACATTTCTTGGTGTTTTCCAAATTAGCATAAATTAGCATAGAGGAACATGGAACAATCCCATTGGTGGATGCCAGAACAGCGCAAGCTTACTGCCGATGCAGTGCCTATTAACTTTTTGATTTATTATTCTAGTTCCAGTCCTGCCACTTTCCATATGGAAAAAAACAGACAGAGATTTTCCATATCGTCTACAGAGACACACTTCTGCACATTTTAGTGCACAGTTACCGTTTATTTACTGAACTTAACATATTGGAAAAATAATAAAACATAAAATATGGCCTGTGCAGAAGTTATGTTGTACGTTTTGTTTTGTTCCGATATGTTAAACTCAAATAAAGCGAATAAAGAGAAATTATACTGCGAAAAAAACAATAGCACAACTTAAATCTAGTGAACATATCTAATATTTCTTACCATGAGTCTGTTGTAGGAATATTATAAGATTATTTCTTTATTATTTCTATATTTTTTACTTGTTTTATGTCATTTTACTTTATGAAAGCGTCTTGTTCCATTGGCAGATCATTAAAGCCTCATTTCTTGGAATAAGCTGAATTATCTGTAGTGCTTTTCAAAATAAATAAAACAATCTGCCAACAGAATAAGACACTTTCACTAGATTAATTGACTTAAAACAAGTAGAAACGTATAAAAACAGGTTGAATCATTTCATAATATTCTTACATAATGAGGAATATTATGTACCGTCCCAGTTGTCACACTTGAATGTTTCAGATCATCAAACTACTTTTTAATATTATGCTGTTTTTAAACGATGATTTCATTTATTGAAGGAAAATTGCTGTTCAGCCTTACCTGGCCCAATGTGAAAAAGTAATTGCCCCCCCCCCTTAGCTACTAAATCAACCAGTTTCCAACCAAATTCAGTTGACTACTGGGTTCTATTGCACTATCCACACCCAGACATGAACACTGCCAGACCTGCTGAATCTAAACATCACTTAAATAGAACCTGTCTGGCAGTGTCTAGAAGGTCTCAAACAGCAGCACGTGGTGCCACGTTCTAAAGAGATTCAAATACAGATGCGAAACAAAGTCATTGAAATCTACTGTCTGGAAAGGGTTATAAAGCCATTGCTGAGGCTCTGGGACTCCAGAGAACCACAGTGAGAGCCATTATCCACAAATGGAGAACACTTGGAACAGTGGTGAACCTTCCCAGGAGTGGCTGACCAACCATAATTTCACCAAGAACAAGTCAACAACTCATTCAGGAGGAACAGAAGAACCCAGATGAACATCTGAAGAGCTGCAGGCCTCACTTGCCTCAGTTAAGGTCAATGTACAATGTGAGTCCACAATAAGAAAGACTCTGGGCAAGAATGGCATCTATGGGAGAGCTGCGAGGTGCAAACCACTGCTGACCATAAAATATGTATTGCCAAAAAGCATCTAGATGACCTCAAGACTTTTAGGATAATATTCTGTGAACTGATGAGTCAAAGGGGGAACTTTTTAGAAGACATGAGTCCTGTTACATCTGGCGTAAAGCTTAAGAACATCACACCAACAGTGAAACATAGTGGTGGCAGTGTGATGGTCTGGGGCTGCTTTGCTTCTGCAGGACCTGGACGATTGTCATATTTGATGGAACCATGAATTCGGCTCTCTGTCAGGAAATCCTGAAGGAGAATATCTGCCCGTCAGTTTGTGACCTAAAGCTCAAGCTCAGCAGGGCTATGAAAAGGAATAATCGTTTAAAATCTGCAATGTGTGTTTACTGTTGTTGTCTTTATCTTATATTCAAATTATTTGACCTTAAACATTAAAAAAATCATAAATTAGCAAAAACTATATGTTGAAAACATTTAAGATATTGTCACTCCAGAATATGATTTGATATCATGTGAACTAAAAATTGTGCACTAAAATACACAAAACGTTTGCATATGATTGGAGTTATATGTAGTCACATACATTAATACACTGATCTTATGTCTTCTGCCCCTGCAGGTATGAGGACGACGGTAAGGAGTGTCTGTCTGTGGAACAGGACCTCAGTGATGACGATACAGAGGCATACGTCACCAACCTGTCCTACTACCACCTGGTGCCCTTCGAAACAGACATCTTGGAGTGAGACGGCACATTTCTCACGTACGCTGAGGAGCCACGGATGCTTTAACCCTCCTCTCCGGCTGATCGCTGCGTATGGAGTCTGCGTGGCTGCTTGTGGGCCCAGCTGCTGGGTAATAGCGTTTGAAATGGCTGGTAGAAATGGATACAGATGGGCCTTCATGTAGTCAGAATGGACCCAGCAACCCCTCTGCTGTGTTTGTGGAACAGCCCACCTGTGCCTCTGAAGCTGTCACTCATGTGCCTCGGTGTTTAGACTTCAAGGAGATACTATCTGCTGGACGAGCAGCGCTGTGGATTCCCTGACGGAGTCATGTTCTCATTTATACACATTTCAGTCAGGAACAGTAACTGGTTCAGTCCCAGTTCAGAAGAAAATGCTGAATCCAGTGAATCAACTATGATATAGTGGTGCACAGTTGTCACTTCCAGCTAGTAATATGGGCAGAAAATTGACCAACCTATCATAAACTGGACAACAGAGGCATCAGAAAGACCAGCGTCTTTAAATAGAGGATGCTCAGGTGGTGGTAGGAGGCGAGAGCATGAAGAGCCGTGTTAAAGTGTTAACTTCACTCTTCAAAACGATGGTTCTTCAAGGGTTCTCCAGTAAAGAAAATGGTTCTTCGCATCATTCAGATTGATGGAGAATGTGCTGTAGATGGTTCTTTATAAAACCCTGTTCAAAAGCACCAAAAAGTGTTCTTTTATTGTTTCAATGTCAAGCTTGTAATAATAGAAGAACCCTTTTCGGTGCTATATAGAACAATTTTCTTTACCAAAGAACCCTTGAAGAACCATCTTTTTTAAGAGTGTAGAAGTCAAAAGTCACCCAAATCACCCAAATTCCATAAATGCATCCTCAGAACTTTTTGAAAAGGGTTCTATATAGTACCAAAAGGGTTCTTCTATTGTTACAAACTTGACACCTTAGAAATTGAACAACCTTTTTTGGTGCTGTATAGACCCCGTTTCAAAAATGTTCTATATAGAACCGTCTACAGTACATTCTGAAGAACGCTTCCATGATGCAAAGAAGCTGTTAGTCATGCAAAGGGTTGTTTGAGTTTTGATGGTTCTATACAAAACTATTTTCTTTACTAAAGAACCCTTGAAGAACCATCTTTTCAAAAGTGTACTGGCCCAGTGGCAGCAAAGTAAGATCTGATGGAGGGCAACGTGTGAAATTATCTTGATTGGCATTGCATGGCAGTCAAACTCAGTTTCAGACCATAATAATCAGTATAAATTGGTGTACTGGTAATCAGGTAAACCATAATAATCAGTATAAATTGGTGTACTGGTAATCAGGTAAACCATAATAATCAGTATAAATTGGTGTACTGGTAAATTGGTTTGCCAGGTTATAACCTAGCAAGTGATTTTTCTCTACGTTAATTATTAATCATAAATTAAGTCAGACTAAGCCGTTTTACGTGATATGTTGCCAGTACTAGGAATTCCAGCCTAACCTAGGTAGACATTGTGGGCGCAGTGAAGACAAAACACCGTTCTCTGTTGAGGAAACGTGTTTCAGCAGTTTTCCAGCTCCCAGTCAGCTGATGTCTCCTAGAAAAACTCTAGATTTGTAGAAAGTTGAAAAAGTTGACCCATCTTGCCGTAGTGATTGCAGCCGATCGAAGAAGCTCCCCTCAGTTCCACAGTGAAACGGTGCTCAGCTTGGATGTCACCGTGGAGCTCCTGGTGACCTGGACTTGTCACAGCTGTGGAGAAGCCTGGCCTCTGTTGCAGTGGAGCTGAAAGGCATTGAAAGATCTAAATTTAGTCCTATAGTCATTACTATGAAGCGTCTGTTCGCTTGGTGCTCTGAGAATCTGCCTAAATGAATACAGTGGATTCTCCCAGAGATCATTACCAACGAGGAGGTCTCTCCTGTTCATTCAGGATTCAGGATCTCCACACAGACTGGAAGGAGATCTTCTAGAAGACTTTTCTCCAGACTCGGACTTCTTACCACTGATATTTTCTAGATTTATATCAGCATTGTTATTCCAATGCTGTGTCTTGGTTACTCGTTTTTTACAGAGCAAAGAGTCTTTGTCTGCAGTATTTCTGTCCTTCTTTATGCCCTTAGAACTTTATCTAGACCTGAGTGAAGACAACCTCGTGCTAGACGGTGAGGGAGATTCACTTTACACTGCAAAAAATAATATCCTAATAAGAAGTGAAAACTTCTTAAATGTAGTCAGTACATCTAATATTTCTCACTATAAGATTGTTGTAAAAATATGAAAAGATTATTCCACCTTTTCTGTACATTTTTACTTGTTTTAAGTGATTTTATCTAGTAAAAGTGTCTCATTCCATTAGCAGATTAGTTTACTTGTTTCGAGAAATAATGAAGATAATTTTGCTCATTTCAAGAAGTAATGCTTAAAACAAGGGACCTGATCTGCCAATGAAATAAGACACTTTCATATGATAAAACTGCTTAAAAACAAGTGAAAAAAGGTCCAGAAATAAGTTAAATAATCTTACAATATTCTTACAGCAGTCTCATAATGAGAAATATTAGATATATTGACATCTGGTATGTTTAAACTTGCTAAGGTATCATTTCTGGTAGTTTGTATCTGGACTGCCAATTCAGTACACAGTTCAAAAGTTTGGAGTCACTCAGCATATTGATAATTTCTCATTTTGTTCAGTGATAACTTATATAGTAAAAATTGGAATGTTATGAAGTAGAAGATATTTTTTTTTCTTAATATTTCAAGTTTTTATGAGCAGCAAAAATTACTAGATAATATATTGAAATTAGAGATGACACTGTACCACTTTTTTCCCCTTGGTACCAAAACCAGTCCAAGATTTTTTTCTTTAAAACCTACTAAATGCTGTAATATTATTTAATATTTTGGAATATTATAAATTAGATAACTAACGATATTTTAGATGTTTTTTTATTATATTTTCAGTATTGACATTGGCCCAGTTTTGATGGCACAGAGATCAGCAATACCACTTCTTTTCTGATACGATACCGGCTGATACTGATACTGATACTGATCCAAGATTTCTTTTTTCTAAACATCTAAGCTTTAAAATGAGCTCTTTCTAAATGAAGCACTTCACTTAAAATGAGTACCAAACACTCCACTCCCCCAGAACACACGGCTATCAGTATAACACACAATACAATATACTGCAAAAAGTGATATCTTGTCGTTTAAATCCAGTCATATCTAATATTTCTCATTTTGAGACGGTTGTGAGCTTATTATAAGATTATTTAACTTATTTCAAGACTCTTTCTACTTGTTTTGAGTGATTCGAGTGAAATGATCTCGCTGTATTGGCAGATATTCACTGCAAAAAATTATATCTCAGCCGGTGAAAACACCTTAAATGTAGTCAATATATCTAATATTTCTCATTGTGAGACTATTGTAAGAATATTCTAAGACTATTTAACTCATTACTAGATGTTTTTTACTTGTTTTAAGTAATTCTATCTTGAAACTGTCTTATTCCATTGGCAGATCATTTTAAGCGTTATTTCTTGAAATAAACAAAATATCTTCATTATTTCTCGAAACAAGTAAAATGTTCTGCCAGTGGAATCAGACACTTTCATTAGATACAATTACTAAAACAAGTAAAAAACATCTAGAAACAGATGGAAAGATCTTATAATGTTCTTACAACAGTCTCATAATGAGAAATATTGTATATAATAACTACATCTAAGATGTTTTGACTTGCTGAGGTGTCATTTTTTGCAGTGTTTTACTGTTGTAAGAAATGTGCTTGAAACAAGATAATTCATCTGCTAATATAGTGAGATAATTTGACCTCACTTGGAATCTCTCAAAACAAGTAAAACGTGTCTATAAATAAGAAAAATAATATTTTAATACACTTACAACTTCAAAATGAGAAATATTAGATATATTAGCTGGGTTTAAGATCATGTCACTTGCCAAGACATCGCGTTTCGCTCTGTAGAGCCACTTCAGGCTAAATTGTCTTATAAAACAACAGAGGTTCTGATTTGGGGCCGTGACACTTGTAGAGGGACGTGTTGAGTGATGTTTGTTTATTTGAGCCTGAGCTGTTTTTGTCTTCATTCTGGAGCTACTAGACGGCAAGAAAGCTAAACAGCCCATTAGGCCTCTTTAAGCCTGTACTTTAATGGACACATACAACAAAAAGACTGTTAAACTTTACCTGTTAAACGCAGGTATTAATAAATTCTCCATTATTTGTCGGCTAAAATGTCATGATGGTGACCCAAACTGTGATTCCAAACTTTTGAACGGTAGTGTAGGTGTCACGTCTCACTTCCTGAGCTCTGACCTACAATATCGGCCGTTTTTCCTGATTTGTTTCATGTCAGAGGGGCATCATTCGATTTATTCACACTTTACGGGTCGTACACTGCAAACAATGGCATCTTGTCAAGTGAAACGATCTTAAGTCTAGTCGATATATCCTATATTTCCTATGTTGAGATGGTTGTGCTCTTATTATAAGATAAACTAGCTCATTTCTAGACACTGTCTCCATTGGCGACGCTCATGGGGGCTCGGACCTGGATTTTTCTGTATAGCTGCTTTGTGACAACACCTGTTGTAAAAAGCCTTCACACTTTTGGCTTGTTTTAAGTAATTTTATTAAGTAGAATTATCTCACTATACTGGCAGATTATTTTGCTGGTTTCAAGCTCATTTCTAAAACAAGCAAAATCATCTGCTAGTATAGTGAGAGAATCCATCCATCCATCATCTAAACAGCTTATCCTTCTGGGTCACAGTGGGGTGCTGGAGCCTATCCCAGCTGTCATTGGGCGGAAGGCAGGATACACCCTGGACAGGTCGCCAGTCCATCGCAGGGCAGACAGACATACACATTCACACCTAGGGGAAATTCAGCATCTCCAATCAGCCTGACTGCATGTTTTTGGACTGTGGGAGGAAACCCACGCAGACACGGGGAGAACAGGCAAATTCCACACAGAAATGACCCTGGTCACCCGGCCGGGAATCAAACCCAGGCCCTTCTGGCTGTGAGGCGACAGCGCTACCCACTGCGCCACTGCGCCACCGTGCCGCCCCTGTGCGATAATTTTACTTCATAAAATCATTTAAAACAATGAAACTTGTCTAGAAATAAGATAAATAATCTCAGATTAAGCTTCACGGAGAAATTTTAGATTTCTTGACTGTATTTAAGATCATTTCACTTGACAGGGCACCGTTTTCTGCCGTGTAGGATGATCCATACAGTGTGTTTCCACTGAGCGACTGTGAACTGTGATCAGTAGCAGAGCTTTTTCCTGCTCTCATGAATAGCAGGGGCCTAAACAGTCGCTTGGCTGGAGGCTCCTGGCTTCCACACATGCACCCTCGCCCGTCCCACTCCCAGTCTACTTTGTAGTGCAGTCATGCTCTCTCGGCTGCCCGTGAGAAAGTTGCGCTCTTTCGCAGCCATGCTGTGAAACTGATTCGGCCTTCTTCTCAGCCGCGTCTCTCTGTCACGCAGGCAGAGCACACAAATGGAGGAACAACGCAGGACGCAAGTGTTTACATGAGCGAACGGGGCCGTTTAATATTTACCATTTTCTTTCTAATGTCAGAATGGAAACCCCAGTGACCGACTGAATGGGCAGCCAGTCGACGCAGGATCACGCTGAATGGGCTTTCATTTCCACCACTTTTATTATTCATGATCCCAGCAGGCTCGAGCATCTACTAATCATGCCTAGAGAGGAGCCAAACATTCCTGTGTGGCTCTTGGGGCCTTTTCCCAGACCTATAAACAGCGCGCTGCCTCTTTTTCAGCCCGAGCACAGCTGACGCTGCAGTTCAGTGGAGGAAAAAACAGCTTCACTTAAACTGCATTTAAACTGAGTGATCAGCAGGACAAAGACTAGAGGAGCACGTTCCAGTGCCGTGTTGAGCTTCGGCCACAGCAGCGTTCAGTTTAAGTGCTCGAGTCAAAGTACAGAACCCTTACATGGACACTTTATATGGAAATGCCCTCTGGAGGCTTTTGGGTCTGGATCAGACTGTTGCCTTTTCGCTTCTGTCTGTCTACACTCTTAAAAAAGACGGTTCTATTTGGAGTTCTATATAGAACCATTTCAGGCTTAAATGCTTCTTTGCATGGTGGAAATGGTTCCAGATAGCACTTAAAAGGGTTTAGAACAATAGAAGAGCCGTACATATAATCATGTACAACACATTCTCCATCAATCTGAGGAACCTTCTCACCGTGCAAAGAACCATTGAAGCATAAAATAACTCATGGTTCTAAATAGAGCCGTTGCCTTTATTAAAGAACCCTTCAGGAACCGTCTTCTCTAAGACTGTAGCTCGTACTGACTGCAGTGATACTAAAGAAACGTGTTTTATTAAAGGGGAAATTCACCGATTTTTGAAGGTTTCTGCATAATTCAGTCACTGAGATGTAAACAAAGTCATTCAGAGTGGTTGGATATGAGATATGATAAACCTACGGAATCATATGGTGGTGATAGGAACCAGGGGTCGCCATGTCAGCAACACAAATATAGCCATTTTACAGTGCCACCCTGTGGACATTACTGTAATAGTGATTCTTAAAGGGGGATTCCACAGATTTTTCCAAATTTCTGCGTAACTGTGTTAAACAGAGTGATGTCTTTACAGTGGTGGTGATAGGAACCAGGGGTCGCCATGACTACAACACAAATATAGACATTTTATTTACTATCCAGAACTACCAGTGAACCTACACGAGTCTTCTGAGTTCATATGAAGTGATGATAAAAAAAAAAAAACATTAAAAAATTCGGATTCTCTAAATTGTATCACTCTGCCATGGATACTTACCAAAAATTGCATAACCGTTTTATCTAATAACTTTCTGTGAGTGAGTTTTAGAGGCAGACGTCTGGTTCCTATCACCACCACTGTAGACCATCGTGACTATGTTCATCTAGAGTTCACATCAAACCACTCTCACTGACTTTGTTTACATCTTAATGATATAAATTTTGACAATGTGATGAAACACCTCTTTAACTAGAGTATTAAGAGAAGACCAAAGCTTTGAGATAATGCACATTCATTCATGTTTTTAGGGGTTTACTTTTATTCATTTTATTTAACATGAATATAGGATATTTATTTTTCTAAGCGTAATTATGAATTATGAAGTTTAACTTTCGCCCTCTTTCTAATTTTCATGCTGCATGAACTGGTTGTCAGCCTATGCAATTAGGAGCTACAATGCAGTGAAACGTATGTTTGTTTGTTTTTGGAGCACACGTCCAAAAGCAAAGTACTAATTGTATTAATACGTACTGAGGTTGCCTCATTTGTCTTAATGATTATTTTGAATCATAGGCCATTAAAGCTTGTTTTGTAAACGTTTGTCTTATTTGTATTGTTACTGTTGACTTTTCACCGATATCTTAGATCTGTAGGCAGAATCAATGAGTTCCAGCCAGAACAGCTGATTTACAGAACCATATCAGAATGAAACACAGAGCACCTTCCACGGTTCCTGTTCAGCAGTGTTTCCCTATCACAGTTTGATTAATGTGCAGCAGTGCCACCTTGTGGACATACTGTAATAGTGATTTTCCAAAGGGGAATTCCACAGATTTTTCAAATTTGCTGCATAACTCAGTGTTTGAGGTGTAAGCAGAGAGATTCAGAGTGGTTTGGTGTGAAATGGTTCAGATGTCTTTACAGTGGTGGTGATAGGAACCAGGGGTCGCCATGACTACAACACAAATATAGACATTTTATTTACTATCCAGAACCACCAGTGAACCTACACGAGTTTTCTGAGTTTATATGGAATGTTGATGATGGAAAATAGTGGAAAATCAGAAATAATAAGTTTTCTTTGGGGACTATTTTGCCTCTCAACACCCTGCATGTATCCCTCCACCATGAATGAAGTTAATATATACGTTTTTATCTCAAAATTATCATAAAATGATGCCGCAGACATCAGGCAGCATATTGTCAAGGTTTCATGTAACAACCTCCTGTTAGGGAGCTTTCAGAACCATTAAATGTGTGTATATAAAAGCACTTTGCACAGCTGCACAGCTGTCAAACAGAAGTGTGTCAAAGTTCAGCAGTGGAGCACCACTAGAGGGCGCCACCTTTAAGGACAAGTTGATGAACTGTAAGCTCAGGAAAAATACTGTTCACTTTACTGGCAAAATACATAAATAACATTAAAAACTCCTTGTATTTATACTCATTGTCCACTCTGTCAGCTCCACTGACCACATAATCTCACTCTGCAGTTACAGACTGTAGTCCATCTGTTTCTCTGCATACTCTGTTACCCTGTTCTTCAGTGGTCAGGACCCCCACAGAGCAGGTGTTATTTGGGTGGTGGATCATTCTCAGCACTGTAGTAACACTGACGTGGTGGTGGTGTGTTAGTGTGTGTTGCGCTGGTCTGAGTGGATCAGACGCAGCAGCCAAGAAAAGTATTCAAGTTTATGTATCTTGACTGTAAATGTGGGTTTGCCTTTAAAAACACTATACAACACTAGAATAAACACAAACAAACATAAATACAATAAAATGTAACAAAAGGTCCTGATTTTATTAAAGCTATAAGATCAAATGTTGATGTTTTCTATTGTCCAGAATTTTGCAAAATAATATAAATGCCAAATACATACTGAACTGTATAAACACACAGAAACAAACTGGTCAGGCATCGAGACCAGAACTGACTCGGGTGAGTAAATCTAGTAGAACTACGTTAGGTATTTTACAGGTGTGTTTATGTTAGTTTAGGCCTGTTACAGGTGTGGTTAGGTTAGGTATGTTACAGGTGTGGTTAGGTTAGGTTAGGTGTGTTACAGGTGTGGTTATGTTAGGTTAGGCCTGTTACAGGTGTGGTTAGGTTAGGCCTGTTACAGGTGTGGTTAGGTTAGGTTAGGTGTGTTACAGGTGTGGTTATGTTCGGTTAGGTATGTTACAGGTGTGGTTAGGTTAGGTGTGTTACAGGTGTGGTTAGGTTAGGTGTGTTACAGGTGTGGTTAGGTTAGGTTAGGTGTGTTACAGGTGTGGTTATGTTAGGTTAGGTGTGTTACAGGTGTGGTTAGGTTAGGTGTGTTACAGGTGTGGTTAGGTTAGGTGTGTTACAGGTGTGGTTAGGTTAGGTTAGGTGTGTTACAGGTGTGGTTAGGTTAGGTGTGTTACAGGTGTGGTTATGTTAGGTTAGGTGTGTTACAGGTGTGGTTAAGTTAGGTGTGTTACAGGTGTGTTAGGTTAGGTTAGGTGTGTTACAGGTGTGGTTAGGTTAGGTGTGTTACAGGTGTGGTTATGTTAGGTTAGGTGTGTTACAGGTGTGGTTATGTTAGGTTAGGCCTGCTACAGGTGTGGTTGTGTTAGATTAGGTATGTTACAAGTGGGGTTATGTCAGGTTAGGTATGTTTCAGGTGTGGTTATGTCAGGTTAGGCCTGCTACAGGTGTGGTTGTGTTAGATTAGGTATGTTACAAGTGGGGTTATGTCAGGTTAGGTATGTTACAGGTGTGGTTAGGTTAGGTTAGGTGTGTTACAGGTGTGGTTATGTTAGGTTAGGCCTGTTACAGGTGTGGTTAGGTTAGGTTAGGTGTGTTACAGGTGTGGTTATGTTCGGTTAGGTATGTTACAGGTGTGGTTAGGTTAGGTGTGTTACAGGTGTGGTTAGGTTAGGCCTGCTACAGGTGTGGTTATGTTAGGTTAGGTGTGTTACAGGTGTGGTTATGTTAGGTTAGGCCTGCTACAGGTGTGGTTGTGTTAGATTAGGTATGTTACAAGTGGGGTTATGTCAGGTTAGGTATGTTTCAGGTGTGGTTATGTCAGGTTAGGTATGTTTCAGGTGTGGTTGTGTTAAGTTGGGTCTGTTTCAGGTGTGGTTAGGTCAGGTTAGGTATGTTTCAGGTGTGGTTATGTTAGGTTAGGTATGTTTCAGGTGTGGTTAGGTCAGGTTAGGTCTCTTTCAGGTGTGGTTATGTTAAGTTGGTTGTGTTACAGGTGTGGTTATGTTAGGTTAGGTCTGTTTCAGGTGTGGTTATGTTAAGTTGGTTGTGTTTCAGGTGTGGTTAGGTCAGGTTAGGTCTGTTTCAGGTGTGGTTAGGTCAGGTTAGGTATGTTTCAGGTGTGGTTATGTTAAGTTGGTTGTGTTACAGGTGTGGTTATGTTAAGTTGGTTGTGTTTCAGGTGTGGTTAGGTTAGGTCTGTTTCAGGTGTGGTTATGCTAGGTAAGGTATGTTTCAGGTGTGGTTATGTTAAGTTGGTTGTGTTTTTAGGTGTGGTTAGGTCAGGTTATGTCTGTTTGAGGTGTGGTTAGGTCAGGTTAGGTATGTTTCAGGTGTGGTTATGTTAGGTTAGGTATGTTTCAGGTGTGGTTAGGTCAGATTAGGTCTGTTTCAGGTGTGGTTAGGTCAGGTTAGGTATGTTTCAGGTGTGGTTAGGTCAGGTTAGGTATGTTTCAGGTGTGGTTATGTTAAGTTGGTTGTGTTTCAGGTGTGGTTATGTTAAGTTGGTTGTGTTTCAGGTGTGGTTAGGTTAGGTCTGTTTCAGGTGTGGTTATGCTAGGTAAGGTATGTTTCAGGTGTGGTTATGTTAAGTTGGTTGTGTTTTTAGGTGTGGTTAGGTCAGGTTATGTCTGTTTGAGGTGTGGTTAGGTCAGGTTAGGTATGTTTCAGGTGTGGTTATGTTAGGTTAGGTATGTTTCAGGTGTGGTTAGGTCAGATTAGGTCTGTTTCAGGTGTGGTTAGGTCAGGTTAGGTATGTTTCAGGTGTGGTTAGGTCAGGTTAGGTCTGTTTCAGGTGTGGTTAGGTCAGGTTAGGTCTGTTTGAGGTGTGGTTAGGTCAGGTTAGGTATGTTTCAGGTGTGGTTAGGTCAGGTTATGTCTGTTTGAGGTGTGGTTAGGTCAGGTTATGTCTGTTTGAGGTGTGGTTAGGTCAGGTTAGGTCTGTTTCAGGTGTGGTTAGGTCAGGTTATGTCTGTTTCAGGTGTGGTTAGGTCAGGTTAGGTCTGTTTCAAGTGTGGTTAGGTCAGGTTAGGTCTGTTTGAGGTGTGGTTAGGTCAGGTTAGGTCTGTTTCAGGTGTGGTTAGGTCAGGTTAGGTATGTTTCAGGTGTGGTTAGGTCAGGTTAGGTCTGTTTGAGGTGTGGTTAGGTCAGGTTAGGTATGTTTCAGGTGTGGTTAGGTCAGGTTAGGTCTGTTTGAGGTGTGGTTAGGTCAGGTTAGGTATGTTTCAGGTGTGGTTAGGTCAGGTTAGGTCTGTTTGAGGTGTGGTTAGGTCAGGTTAGGTCTGTTTGAGGTGTGGTTAGGTCAGGTTAGGTCTGTTTCAGGTGTGGTTAGGTCAGGTTAGGTATGTTTCAGGTGTGGTTATGTTAGGTTAGGTATGTTTCAGGTGTGGTTAGGTCAGGTTATGTCTGTTTCAGGTGTGGTTAGGTCAGGTTAGGTATGTTTCAGGTGTGGTTAGGTCAGGTTATGTCTGTTTCAGGTGTGGTTAGGTCAGGTTAGGTCTGTTTGAGGTGTGGTTAGGTCAGGTTATGTCTGTTTGAGGTGTGGTTAGGTCAGGTTAGGTCTGTTTGAGGTGTGGTTAGGTCAGGTTAGGTCTGTTTGAGGTGTGGTTAGGTCAGGTTAGGTATGTTTCAGGTGTGGTTAGGTCAGGTTAGGTCTGTTTGAGGTGTGGTTAGGTCAGGTTAGGTATGTTTGAGGTGTGGTTAGGTCAGGTTATGTCTGTTTGAGGTGTGGTTAGGTCAGGTTAGGTATGTTTCAGGTGTGGTTAGGTCAGGTTAGGTCTGTTTGAGGTGTGGTTAGGTCAGGTTAGGTCTGTTTGAGGTGTGGTTAGGTCAGGTTATGTCTGTTTGAGGTGTGGTTAGGTCAGGTTAGGTATGTTTCAGGTGTGGTTAGGTCAGGTTAGGTCTGTTTGAGGTGTGGTTAGGTCAGGTTATGTCTGTTTGAGGTGTGGTTAGGTCAGGTTAGGTCTGTTTCAGGTGTGGTTAGGTCAGGTTATGTCTGTTTCAGGTGTGGTTAGGTCAGGTTATGTCTGTTTGAGGTGTGGTTAGGTCAGGTTAGGTATGTTTCAGGTGTGGTTAGGTCAGGTTAGGCCCTAAAGAAGAGAAGTTTTTGGAAAAGTATAAAATTGCATGTTGACCTCAAAATCATCCACAACAACCAAAACAAATGTGTGTAAAATGTTGACATTCATCTTTTATACAGGTGAAACACTCTGGGCTCAAACTGACCCCAGAGAACAGTGATGCAATCAAAATGTGCGAAGAACACTGAAGCATCATCATGTTAATTTAATGTTTACCCAGTTGGCACCAATAAAATAGGAAACGTCAATAAATATGAAGCAAAAAAATGTCAATCATTTATTCAGAGGCGTCATACCCCGAGTGATTAATCCGGCTCCGAACGGACCGCGGCGTCATTACCTCACCGGCTCCGGAGGAAACGGAGCGCCGCGGAACTTTTATTTTGAAATTTTCGAGCAGACCTGTTGAAACACTGCATAAAGTTTCCTGCTTCGCGGCGACCGCAGCTATGGAAGAGGAGACAACTCCAGTCCGGCAGCAGCACCTGTTTAACGTCCAGAAGCTGCAGCAGTACCTGAGGAGCAGGTCACACCTGGCTCCGGACAGCTCCGCCATCTCCGTGCGCCAGTACAGGTAATGAGCTGCATGAATATGCATGAGCTCCGCCGCCTTCTCACTGAGGAGCTGCGGCTCTTACTGGTTACACTGTTTAAAAGCGATTAAAGAGCTTTTCCCTCCCTGTGTCCTGCAGTTCTGGTCAGTCCAACCCCACCTTCTTCATCCAGACCCCAGACAGGAGCTATGTGCTCAGAA